CATACCAATTATTTGCGAATTTTGACTCAGAAGCTCAGGTAGAATGGTTCAAATTGTTCAGAAACGCTGGGTTCGAAGGATTAAGTAAAAACCATATTTACTAATCAGAAATGGAAAAGCTTACTACAATTCATCAAACAACAATATTTTAAAAAGAATTTTGATTTTTATTTTGTATCTGTATAAACGTGACAATATTTTATATATAATTAATTTTAATATTTAATAGCCATCGTGTCTTTGTTTTTCTTTCCTTTTTTACCCTGCTGCTATCGAGTTGGCCTACTGGCAATTCACCCATGATTCTAGGGACAGGCTCCTACTACCTATTACCTCCTCTCTCCCTAATATACTAGAATGTCAGTTAAACATCGCATGGTTAAAAAGTTCTGTGGGCCGCAGATCGACTTTCCAAATAAGTTATTTGAATGTACATTTTTTCAAATAACTTGACTGGAAGTCAAACCCAGGACAGTTTTTTAAGTTCTTTCAGAGTTAGGTCTCTGCCAGTTTTAATTCCTTGTTAAATTTCTAATAGATATCTCAGCTAGATTAAAATTTAATAATTTTTTTTAATAAGAGTAGAAAGGCTTTCTTATCCCCCTGTCCGTCTTCTCTTGAACAGGAGTAGAGGCTCATCTTTTGTTCCTGTTTAGGAAGGGGTTCCCGGTTCCTTCCCGTTTCTCAGGCCTTACTAGTGGTTCTTTCATGAATTTTATGTGATATGTGTGGATGGTGGCAACATCTCTTCATAATGAGGATGCCAGGTTGGCAGTTCTCTGATTGCTCTTCCCGACTGGTGTTTAGTAGCCCGAACTCTTGCGTAGGCAAGCAGTGGTGATGGGATCCCAGCCGTCGTCCTATAGAAATGTGCTCTGATGCTGGCTCCAGTTCTATCCAAAATCTACAATTACTGCTTTGCTGCTTGCCAGTTGTTGAAAGTCCTCCTTGTAGTACCCGTTTTTAAAAACTCTGGGGAACATTCTGTTCCCTTTAACTATCGCTTTATTTGTTTCCTACCGCTTTTCGGTAAAGTATTTGATATATCAATCAATACTGAAGTGGCTAAGCATCTTTCCTATCCCGACCTACTAACTAACAAAAAATATGGCTTCCGTTTTGCCAGGTATACCGCTGATGTGCTAATGGCCATCACTGAATAAGCTCTTGATAATAATGGCGAAGCTCGTGCTGTGGCTCTAAATATCTCGAAGACGTTTAACAGGGTTTGACACGCTGGTCTTCTACGTAAGCTCTACATTATTACAGGACCATAGTTTGATTTAATCCCAACCGTTCTTATCAAATCGTTAAATGAAGGTTGTTTTCAACGGGCTCACTTTGAGATCCTTTCACTGAAATGTGGGTGTCTCCCATGGTTCTATCATGGGTTCTACGCTGTTTCTGATCTTCATCAATGATATTTCTGATGTCATCAGTTTTAAAGTAGGCATTTATTCAAATGACACTCCCATTTACTCCAGTCTCAGAAGCAAATCCGTCAGAACTGACAAAGTTAATCTGGCCTCTGCTCTTGAAAAGTACCTCAAATCAGTGGTTAACTGGGACAGGAAATGGCTTGTAAATTTTAATACCTACAAAACAAAACTACTCTCATTTAATAGAGAAACTTTCCTTCCACTACCCATCGTCATGGCTGATGCTAGAATCCTGAAAAGCAACACAATGCGCTTTCTTGGTCTCACGATTTCAACTGACTTGATGTGGAACTACTATATCGAATCAATTGCTGCATCCACTGCAAGGAAAGTTGGATCACTGTGCCCTTGCCAGAAAGTTTTTCTCGTCAGATTCTATCTTGCATATTTACAAATCTACTGTTCGTCTGTTCATTGACTACTGTTGCCATATCTGGTCTGGAGCTCCTGCTGTTCATCTTGAGGTTCTTGACAGAATCCAAAGAAGGATCTGCAATTTAATCGAGGTTAAGGAGGTGGTTTTGGAAAGTGATTTGGGTTCCGGTCATGCACATCACTCCCTGGTTCTGGTGGCCGATGCTTTGGATCTGTCCGTTCCGAACGAGCCTGATCCGATGACTCTCGCTGGGTTATTATTGGCTAGAGAACGTCTGCAGGAGGGCGGATTTCTCATTCAGTACTGTAGCACTGTGACAACCTCATAAGTGAGATGAGCGGAGATAGTACTTTGAGCACTGATGTTGATGAATGGGTGAAGGCACTGGGGTACAGATATAATCTTCTCTCGGAAAATTTCCGTTGCACCTGTCAGATGCAATCCCGACGCGTCGACCAAGAAGCAGATCGTTTCTGAGGCAGCCAAGATGTTCGACCCATTGTCTCTATGTCTTCTAGTGACTGTTCTGGTTAGGACGTTGTGTAAGAAGGGTTTAGGATGGGACGTTCAAGTTCTTCATGAATCCCAGTTGTTGAGTAGTCTCGCGGGTGACCTCTCCGGTTTGAGCGCTATTCATTTTGACCGAGAAGCTCTTGATGGCGGCCGAACTGGGGACATATACCTGTTCTGCGATGTTTCGACAGAGGCTTATGGGTTTGCTGTCTACGTTGTGCAAGACCACCGATCTTCCTCGATCTTCGCTAAGTCTAAGGTTGCGACTTTGAAGGATAAAATTCTTTCCACTTCAGCAAATGTTAGGGCCAATGTCACCGCATAAAACGAGGTGCTCTACCGGGTAATAATGCATTTGACCAAGCGTTCTAGCCCAGCGGAGGTACAACAGAAATTGCTTCTACATGTCCTACTTAACATACCTAAACTAGACGTTGTTTTGCAATCATGTCACTGTAAAAAATAACCAATCCACGCTCTTCTGATTTGAATAATCTGACCTACACACTTTAATTCCTTGTCTAGAGATGATCAACCAGAGTTGATGGCTGTTTTCCTTGCAATCAATGTCTGCCGACCATCTTGGAGAACTGCAAGGAGTTTCTTTCTTCCAATTTCGCACGGATTTATGGACTTAGACCTCACTTTAAGTATGTCGCCACAACTGATCATCAGAGGATTAACATTGAAGAAGTTCACGTCTAACTTGGAATGTTGGTGCCATGGTCCCATGACATCCTTCCTTGCCCTACCTCGACAGGCAGTGCCTCCGGGTTGCTCGATCTTCGACAAACTTCTCGGTGGTCCCGTTTGTTGAAAGTCACGTCCTTGGTGTTCAAGTTCATCAGTAGATTGCAGAGATGAGACCAAGACTGTGACAGGAATTATCTAACGAAAACTCTACAACAGGAATTTATCGAGGAGCTTAGATTCATCCTGGATCCCCTTGGGAGGTCGTTGCCCCGCCTGATCTATGTTCTTGGTCTATTCCTGGGAGAGATTGATCCGCTCCGGTGGCTGAATTAATAGGTCTTCGCATTTTGGATATAACGTTAAGAACCTCGTTTTACTGGGAAAGAAGCATCTTATCTCCAAACGTCATGGACTGCCATTCTAGATGTTCTCATCTGAGAGTGGGGCCGACTCTGGCTGAGTTTAAACGCAGCGGTTACTGAGTTCCTCAAGGAAAACAGGCGATCTAACTTCTAACTTGCCCGGTGCAAGAGATTCAATACCAAACCCGTGCTGCTGCCCAATGCGACCAGCCTACTGGTTCCTCGCGTAAAGTTCGAAGTACCCTTTAGGAACTCGGGAGTCGATTTCACAGGACTTCTTTGGGTGAAGGAGGGAACCCTGGAAAGAAATATGTATCTGTTTCAGGTTTATTTGCTTGTGCGCCAGGGCAGTACACATCGAGGTGGTATCGGACATGAGTGTTTTGTCTTTCTTCCAGGCCCTGATCCGATTTACCAACTATTATGTAATTCCCTAGGTACTTTACAATGATAATATTAAGAGACCTTCTTGAGCAGCGGAAGACTGTTTTATCGTCTGTCTCTCCTCCAGGAGTATCAAGTCAAATTTGTCTTGTGAAACATGAGGCTAAACACGATTCCCCTTTTTTCTCCTTTTTCTTGGGTGAGAAGCATTTAGACGGTGAATACATGCCTCTACAAATTTATTGATAGGAGGTACATTCGATTATTCCTCTCTTCTGACGATCATCTCTGACATCCAGAGGGCAGTGAACAAGCACCATTAACATACTAGGATTCTGCAGAAAGGGAACTTGCAGCATTCACCCCCAACATGTTCTTGAGACCAAATAAAAGCCCTGGATTACTGTTGCAGGCGAGGAGGGGAGATCTTTCTGCCTCGGCACATACCAGTCGAAGACGGTTAATTAAGATGGTGCAGCTTACAAACCATGGCTGCATAAGTTCCATGTGCTATGACACAATGGGTACCTCCATGAACTTAGAGAGAAATCTCCTGGACAATCTCGGTTGCCCTTCTGAAAACCGTATTCAAAGGGATGATGCGGTCCTTATCGACCCTTTTGAATCCTAGAAACAATCCCGGATATCATTCCGGGAGACGATGGCATGGTGAGACCGGAATGTATCAGGCAGGGGGATGTCTTGGACAGATCCATTCCTTAAAACATCTATATCCTATGGAGGTTTCCCTATCATCCTACAACCAATACGAGTTTGGGGCTGATATTTTCATACTTCCTTCTCCGGACACTTCTTATGACACAAAGGACATGGAACACGTATGCTCTCCACCCGGTGGGGAAACTGCGATTTGGCTGCGCCCTACCTGCAACGCCCCACAGCGAGAACAGGATAGGATAAGCTGTGACTCGTATGACGAGTGCTTCCACATCGACTGTGTGGGGATCGTGGTGGGCCTTCTTAAAGGCAGAAAGGGTATTATCTTAACTGTGCAAGTCTGCTTCCCGCCTAAAAATGTTGCTCCTGGGTAAAACTGAAAACTGTAACCGTCAGTGGAGCCAAAGGCCAAAGGCTGGAACCTAAACCACTGTCATCTGGGTCGTGAGTATGGCCTAGCACCTGTATGTCCTCCATCAAGGTTACACACTTTTTTCTTTCTTTTTTTCATCTCCTGTTGTCAGGAGTGTGTGGGAAAAAAGTGGGGTAACTTACCTGAGGTTGAAACGGCGGGATTGATTGAGGAGCAGGATTGGCACCACGACTTGACGTCTTTAGTCGCGGGTGCCACGGCTACCTCCTCTTTTATAGCCTCCTACCGGAAGAGTGGAAGGGGTTGGAGGCAGTTACAATGTTATCAAATGCCTCCCACTTATTAATTTTGCCGACTCGACCATGGCCATAGGTTTTTAATTGTTGTTTATGGTTAGTACTTAATTATTGTTACCAGATCTAGATTGGGAGTGGGTCGTGAAGGCGTCATTTTCCTTCACAAGTTTGGTTCGTTGGTACCTCCGTCTCAGCGTCATCCTTTGGGTCGATTTTTTTTTCAACACGTAAGGTAGTATGCTTTTTATACGAAAGACACGTTGAACATTCACCTCGCCAAACAGGCAAATAGCGAAACATAAAATCTCTAGAAATCTCTAGAAAAGAGATGGTGTGATGAGTCAGAAAAGGCAAGAAGTGGGACGGCGGGGGTGGGGAATTCAAGGAGACTGGACATTGCGAATGGGATAAAAGCAAAACGAAGTTTGACCTTTCACCTTTAACCTCTACATTCTCCCCTCTCAATTGGTTTTAAATTCTTTTTAAGGATATACACTGTCGGGCGGGGCGGATATCATTAAGTGACACTGCTCATGAGAAATCTCTATATTTTCCTTTCAATTTGCTTCTTAGGCCTTCGTGGCTGGTCATGTATGCGAATATTTATCCGCTCACCCACGACGCAACAGAATATGGCACAAGGTCAGAGTTTAAGGTGGGATTTCCGGAAATCCGTACAAAAATTTCTAGTCCCCTCAGAGCTAACCATTTTGGGGACCCCTCAACCTCCACTCGAAGCAGAAGTACTGTCTGGGGGATGCCCCCACCCTGAAGCTTTGGCTGATATTAATTTCAACTACTCCGGCGTGATGTGACTGTGAAAGTTTAAAGGAACGTGTAAGCTGATATTAAAGTATATTTAGTATCGTAATTCCCCATGTATAATACGCATTTTTTTCTCAAAAATAAGAAACAAAATTAAGGGTGCGTATTATGCACAGCTAGAAAAATCTTTAAAAAATTGCAGTTTCATAGGTCGATTTCAGTTGCGAAATGACTACTCACCACTGGAAAGAAATATGTATCTGTTTCTGTTTATTTGCTTGAGAAATAACATTCGGCGATTGCGACGCCATAAGGATGTCAAATACAATCGTATGTTCCTAACAATACTTACAAATGTAAAATAAGATAAGAATTATCATAAAACTAAATTAGAATAATATTATCCTATGTTTAAAACCATTTTTAATAAGAGTAGGAACCGCTGGCCGTAATGAAATTGAAGAGGTACAATTTATAGGCTTTGATTACCAAACAATGCGTGAGTAGAAGCATTTTCCCCACACTTTCGGCACAGCTTTATGGGTGCGTATTATGGATGAAGGTATATTATACATGGGAAATTACGGTATGTCTCAAGTAAATTTGCACCCCGGGGGTAAATTTCGCTTACTTAGAGAATAAATTTTCTGATTCTGAAGTTGTAAATATTTTCTTTTTTTTTATTTTACATTATTTTAAAAAAATGAATTTGAGAAAAAAATTTCAAGTAGACCTATTTTATACATTTTATTCTCGTTTTAAGGATTTGCATGCGAATTACAATTACCATCTTGACATTGTAGCCATCTAATTTTCTTGTTTATGGAAATACAGAACCAGTAGATGGGAATGTGATGAAAAATGGGGTCTTGTTGCTGAAAATTAGCTCCATCCACAGGCGTTATTGTCTTCCTCCTTCAACCTATCCTAGTTACTGTTGAATAGGAGGCATTTCCCCAAGCGTCTCTTCTTTACCTCCCTGAATCATTGGCGTGTTTATTCACAGAATGAGTACGTAAACATTTGCTTTTCTTTCAATCGTGCGCCGATGGCTTAGGGAAAAATCTCTCTCGGTCAAAATTCGCTGTTGCCGAATCAGTCAGGTTTCGTTCCTGATCTGGCCACACTGATGAGCTGTGATACAGCGAAACAGTTTGTCTGTTGATGACTATATATATATATATATATATATATATATAATATATATATATAAAAAAAGAAATAATCACACATAGAATTAATCAGAAGTATTAATGCGATTATTGGCGACATCCATCGCTAGAAAACATAATATATGCATTAAAATCCTGTTCATCCATAGTTGCGTCTTTGCACGTTCCGAGATCTTACACAACCGTCAATAATAGCAGATATTCAAAAAACATCTTTCGGTCGACATACAGGCATATCGTCTCAAGTTTTTGATTTTATAAGGAAAAAAAACACATGCCTGATGATGAATAGAAGACTATTCGTAAGTACTAGCATTTTAACATCAAATAAACTGAAAAACTACAGACAACAAGTTTTTTCGACAAGGATCAAGACTCGCACTATGGATGAACAGGATTTTAATGCATATATTATGTTTTCTAACGATGGATGTCGCCAATAATCGCATTAATACTTGATTAATTCTATGTGATTATTTCTTTGTATGTAAATCATATGCTGCCTAATGTTTTATGTTTATATACATATATATATATATATATATATATATATATATATATATATATATATATATATATATATATATATATATATATATATATATAAAATATTTCCGATTTAACCAGTAGAGAAGACAATATTTATGAATAAAAAATGACAATAGGAAAACTGGTAATTGCTGACGCGTTTCGTCCAATGTGGACTTTATCAAAGCAAAATACGAAAATGAAATTAATTGAATAAAGTAACTAATAAAAACAAAAACAGAATGTACCTAGCAACTGGAATGTAGAGAAACGTTATTTTCATATTTTTAACTGACGTTATTTATGAAACAGCCCGTAAAAAATAAATAAGTAAAATAAAATAAAACAAAATTATCCAGACACTTAACAACATACTATGGTGCCAAAATCTATCTTCCTCTGTGAATGAACAGACGATGCGCGTACAAGAAAGTCATCATTCGCTTTGAAATAGACGCCCCACCCTACCTCAGCTTGACCTCTCCCTGAAGGTGACTGATATGTGGATAAAAATTAACTCTTAGGCCCCTTATTTTTTCGCTTGAGGACGAAACAAGGCTTGTTACTTTAATTCAATTTAATTTTAATAATTATATTGATGGTTTCGGCTCTCGTTTTTGAAACATGAGAACTCTTATGTAGCGAAGGAATCATATTTTTAAAAAGATAATTATAATACATACATACATACATATATATATATATATATATATATATATATATATTTGTCTATATCTATATTGCCATATATATATATATAAAGAGAGAGAGATGAGAGATGAGAGACAGAGTCAGAGAAGTGGACATTAAAGTCAACACTCAGTCTGTTTCATGCTAAACTTAATCGTCAGGCCATATGCGTTGTGTTTTTGCTCGAATTATTTATATATGCAGGTCAATGATGCATTTAAGTTTACAAGCAACAGTATAGCTAGCCAAAAACTTCAATGGGACCCACAATTATAAGCCACACAATAGCCCTAGAATAATTCGAAAATAACATTTACCGCCAACCAAAATAAGCTGTAGAATAATACAATAGACTACCCACAATGCATCACTGAACAGTATCTATAAATAGTCGAGTAAAAAACACAACGCTGACGATTGCGTTTAGCATGAAACAGAGAATCGCCTCTGTGTGTTGACTTCAATGTCTACGTTTACATTTATATACGCTCTATCCCCGATATTGATACATTAACCTATAAATATAGCATACCTAAAAACTATATTTTATCATATATATATATATATATATATATATATATATATTGGATTGAGGAATAAGTCGTGAGCGTTTTTCAAAATGTTTTATTGTCATTGTCTTACAATGTTAAATGACATAATATTAGTCAACAATATAATCTCCATTGTTGTTGATAACTTTTTCCCATCGGTCACAAAGTTTTTCTATTCCTTGACGATAAAAATCTCCTGATTTTGATCTAAAAAATTCGTCCAACTAAACCCTCGATTCAGCATCAGTATTGAACGTTACACGACGTAAGGCATTGAAAAGAGATCGAAAAAGATGAAAATCTGATGGTGCCAAGTGTGGAGAGTACGGAAGATGAGGCCACACTTGACATCTTGAATATCGGTTTTGGTCATATTGGTGATGTGAGGACGGGTGTTGTCGTGTTGAAGGAGAACACTCTGTCCCCGATTCGGTCTTTTTTGGGTGAATTGCTTCACGGAGTCGGTGCATTTGTTGAATGTAGAGCTCGGCATTTACCGTTAGGTTTCGCTCAAGCAATTCATAATGAATTATGTCTTCCTCGTCCCACCATACACACAACAATATATATATATATATTGTTAAATATAACAGACAACGAATGTCTATTATGTTTGATCATGATTCTAAGCTTTGCAGAGTGGCTTTAGTTTCGGGAGAAAAAATATATATATAAATATACTTAGTTGTTTTGATGTGAGTTTGTAACCCTGGGTTTCACGCCCTTTCGATCGTCAGAGTGTGTTTGACGATAGCAAGGCAGTGAAAACCCAGAGTTACAAACTCACATCAATACAATTAAGTATGTTAGCTCTGTCACTGATATTGAGCGCTTTACAATAACTACCGCGCATACATAATATATAAATACTATATATAGAAATTATATATATATATATATATAGTCTTAAGATGTGCTATATTTATGGGATAAAGTGCTCAATATCAGAGATAGAGAGTGTGTAAATATAAAAGTGAACATAGAAGTCAACACTTAGAGGCGGCAGGCTGTTTCATGCTAGATGCAATTTAAGGACCTGACGATTGCATCTAGCATGAAACAGACTGTCGCCTCTAAGTGTTGACTTCTATGTTCACTTTTATATATATATATATATATATATATATGTGTGTGTGTGTGTGTGTGTGTGTGTGTGTGTGTGTGTGTTCAGATTGCACGTATTTGGGATTGTCCAAGATAGGAAGACAAAAGTGGAAATGACGAATTGACCATGACTGAATTTTCAAAAAGCTAACCGTTTTTATATGACTCTCCAAGAAAGAACCGTTACCATATATGCTAAAGGAAACCGCTCCGGAAATCATGTCTTCATGCACTTGTTTTTTCCAGTATTCGTGAAGAAAATGAACTCACCGCAAATGCCATTAATCCATTTGAATTTCTGTGCTGTATTTCCAACAGAACAAGTGAAATTTCCGTCCGTCGATGGTGACACATGCGTGAATCATTAACACAGGAAGAGGATCCGTTTTTATTTCGCAGACTTTTAAAGATGTGTCTATACATCTAGAATACAGTGTGCAAGATTTCTAGGTTATTTGATCATGAATTCCGTCCTCCTTTTCACTCTTTT